CTCATCAGCATTGCTGGGAGTTTCAGGGATTGTTTCCTTCTGAGAGTTTTGCAATTGGTTTTCTAATTTTGAAATTTTATCTTTTAACTCAGAATTCTCCAATTTGAGACTCTCAGTCTTATCAGAGTCAGAAGCAAGATTCCTTTTCAGGTTTCTGAATTTGACTCTGATCTGCTGATATCTTTCCAGAATTTCATTAAGGCTTTCAGCTAGTTCAGCCTTAGTAAAGTTTATAGTAAAGTCAGGGAATACCTCTTTTGTATCTGATTCAGAGTCTGACTCAGAAGCTTCACTGTCTTCAGTTATGTTTGCCATGAGAGCTATGTTTGCTCTTTCATCATCTGATTCTGAGTCAGCTTCAGATCTGTCAGAATCATCCCATGTAGCCATGAGACTTTTCTTCTTTTCCTTGCCAAACTTCTTTTTGGGCTTCTCCTTCTGAAGCTTTGGGTAATCACTTTTGTAGTGCCCTTGCTCGTTACATTCATAGCAGATGATGTCTTTGTTGTTTGGCTTTCTGTTTCCTGAAGAACCTTCAGATCTTCTGTGTCCAGAAGAGGATTCTGACCTTCTGTATCTGGAGGAAGATTCATTCTGATCTTTTGGAATTCCTGAACTTCCTTTGCCTCTGCTTCCAAAATTGGTTCACCCTTCTGGAGAGGAGAGACAATTCATCTTCTTCTGATGAGGACCCATCAGAGGTTTCTTCCACAGCCTGCAAAACTTTGGAGTCAGATTTTCTGTTAGATTTTAAAGCTAATGGCTTACCTTGTTTTTGAGGTTCATCTGCTTCTAGCTCTATCTCGTGACTTCTGAGGGAGCTGACAAGTTCCTCCAGAGAGATTTTGTTGAGATCCTTGGCTAGCTTAAGCGTTGTGACCATTGGCCTCCACTGTTTTGGCAAGCTTCTGTTGATCTTCTTAACGTGATCAGCAGTGGAATACCCTTTGCCAAGAACTTTTAGACCAGCAACAAGAATTTGAAATCTTGAAAACATAGTTTCTATTGATTCACTCTCTTCCATCTTGAATGCCTCATACTTCTGAATGAGCGCAAGGGCTTTGGTTTCTTTGACTTGAATGTTGCCTTCATGCGTCATTCTCAAAGAGTCAAACATAGTCTTGGCAGTTTCTCTGTTTGATATCTTCTCATATTCTGAATAAGAGATGGCGCTGAGAAGAATTGTTCTGGCCTTGTGATGATTTCTGAATTCACGCTTTTGCTGATCAGACATCATTTTCCTGTCAATCTTCTGACCACGTCCATCCACTGGGTGCGTGTATCCATCAGTCACCATGCCCCACAGATTAGCATCATGGGCCAGAAAGAAACTCTCAATTCTGTCTTTCCAGTAGTCAAAGTTCTCTCCATCAAAGACTGGAGGTTTGCCACTGAATCTGTCCCTTTCTTCATTGTTGTCATTGCTGATGTTTTGACTTGGTCCTGCCATTGTGTTTTTCTGACGCTGGATCTTGTACTGACACGGTTAAGTGTTATAAGCTCAAAACCAGGCGCTCTGATGCCAATTGAAGATGTGAAAAACACAAGAAGGGGGGGTTGAATTGGAAAACTTAAAACAAATGGCTTGACAACACAATATTTTTATCCTGGTTCGTTTGATCTCAAACTACTCCATTCCACCCGTCAAGGTGATTTCGCCTCTCTCCAACGAGGTCTTAATCCACTATTTTCAAAGGATTACAATAGCTACTTTAACAACTATTAAAGTCTTCTTGAGTACAACCACATACCGGTTTATCTCAAGGAAATCTTTTACAAATGAATTGAACTAGTGTGTATGTTGTTTTCTTACAAAACCGTATATCACAACTGTGATAATTACACAAACTAAGATTGGAATAGAAAGACTTTGCTAAAGCTTTGAATGAGCGTGGTTTGAATATCTTAGCAAATTGAGTGCGTACGTACGTGCTTCTTTTCACAAGCAGTCCTGTTTATATAGGCAAGCAAAGATACATTGTCCGTAAAGCGGGTTTAATGATAATAATGCACTTTCCTTTTGTAGAAGATCTTTGTCTGAAGAAAGCCGTTAGTATTTAATCCAGTCTTGAATTCCTAGTAACGCTTCATAATTTTCTTTGTTGTTTCTGCTGATAACGCTTCAGAGTGTAGATGACTTGGAAAAGATGTCTTTAATCAGAGTCAGAGTGTATTTGATTAGGCGTAGATTCTGGTCATCAAACTTTAGTGTTTCAGCGTGTAACATAGGTTGCTGATCTTCTGATGCTGCTTCTATTCTGATGCTGATTCTATCAGAGCTTCTGCATATACATAGCATAATTTTTAGGAGCATAATTGTTCTTTGTATATACCTTAGGAATAATTTTATTCTTTGTATTTTGTTATCATCAAAATTTTACTCAAGGGTTGTAGAATCAAACTATGTTCTAACATGTAGAAGAGTTAAGACATTGTATTTTAGGATTCAGCTTGGTGGCGCATCTCTTCCATAGAAGCTCACATCTCTTCCACTGCCTCGTTGTCACTACTACTGCTAGATGTTGTGGTGCCTCATTGTGTTACCATGTTGAGATAGATGACTAAGGCGACTGAAAGTCAGATGCATATGTGGCCTTTGTCAATTTTATTGAGATCCGAATATGGGAACCAATTGTACTTATAAAAAATATAATGAAGGGAACATGTTCGCTTGTATGGGCAAAATAGGTCTTGTATATGTTAAATGTAAAAATATTGAATAATCAATCCTCATAACCCCATGTAATGAGATATTTGTAGCCATGATCTATGATCTGAATCATAGGAAGGAATTGGTCTTTTCCTAACTCCTCAAGAAAAACGTGAAAATAGAGAGAAATGTTCTTCCTCCTATCTCGGGAGGAGTTCCTCATGGTCTTAACTAAGCAATCCCTTTTAGGGACACCTCATTTACCATATAATGAGGTAGTTGGCTTTTAATAGATATGGTCTTCGGCCAAGAGAACTATGATCCTCCTTTCACTTAGTTAGCCACGTACTAAGAGCCTTACTACTCAATAACTACAGTTTGGTTCGGGCAACCTACCCAAAAGGACCGGTTCAGATCGGGGTGATCTCATGATCCACCATGTCACACTATAAGGATTCTCCTCTTACCCTTCACATCATTCTTAGATTGATTGGGTTTTGGGTTGGTCTCTTCTAGGGCCCAATTAAAATTATCCCGATTCATTCAGTTATATTCATCAAAATTTTAAATCTCCAAAACTCAATTTTATTTTGATGTACTAAAAATCTTAACTTTAAGCATTTCTTAACTATGATTATGTATATCAAAGACCTTCCAATAAAAAATCACGCCGCAACAACCATAATGACCAATGACCACAATTGCAACACCCACAATGATCAATGACCGTTGCAACATCCGCAATTGCATTCACGACCGCAATTTAAAACTATGATGTAGATATTATTTTTACCATTCCCACAACTAAAAGTATTCTTCATAAGTTTAGAATAATTGAAACTTGTATGTTAAACTTTTTGTTTTGAACTTTTATGTCAATTTGGATAGACAAAACATAGTATCAAGATGGATATTGTTGATTTTGATGGAATAGAAAAAACTCAGTGAAGTGATATTCATGATTGTTTGTTTTGGTTCAACTCAAATCCTATGATCCTTCTATATCTCTTCAAGTTTGTTGAACTTTATTATTTTCTCTAATCTATCTGAGTCACGATGACCAAAATTTTGACACACTCACACGGTCAAAGTGTTAGAAGCCGTTTGCTCATAATTGTATGGTCTAGAAAAAATAAGTTTATTTTTCATTTTTATTTTTCAAAAAACTGTAATTCAAATGACTCATATGATCCTAATCAGACTATAAAAAAATGCTTGACTATGAAAATGTAGTGACTAGCAACTACAGCAAATTGCGGTCCCTCATTATAACATGATGGTGTATATAAATAGAAGATTTAAGAATAAGGACACTAAAAACATTCAATTCATCTTATTTGAAAAGTAAATTCGACTAATTTTCACAGTAGAAAGAGAAAACAACATTGTTCACTTCACTTATTATAAACATGATGATCACAAAGTTCCATATCCGTACATTCTGTAATTTTCTTTATTGGCATATTATTAAATCACACTACCTAGCTCTGTCAAACATTGCTATCTTCAAGTGATGAAAAAACCCTCTAATTGGCATATGCACATTTAATTGAAAATAGTGAAAGGCTAATAACAATCCATAACATATAGAGAATGAAATAGTAAGTACAAAAATCAAACAAAGAAAAATTAAGAATGTAAGTAACAATGATGAGGTAGCATATATAAACTTCATAGTTCAAAAAATATAATACAAGTACAAACAACACATGAATAAATAAATTAGATCTTGCCATTAATAGATGCTTCTTCCATGTGAGAAACTTTATTTTAAACATATGATGAAAATACGGAAAAGAAGAAGAATAAGAACAAGATAAAATATCACATATTCAAACTCGTACTCCTGCATCTGAAGGACTACCTATGGGATAATTCTCTATTATCTAATTCATATAAATACAAATTACAAGTTACAACATTAATTAACATGTTTTGTCATAAAAGCAAACATAAACAGAAAACCAAAAAGGAAACATAAATAATCTATGTACATAGGTTGTGTTGTTGTGTATGTGTGTTCTCGATAATCACACCCAACACAAAACATCTTACATTCCCAATAAAAAAGTTAACCCAAAAATCAATATTAGTTGTTGTAGTACTCACAAGAAGCAAAGACAACCAAAAACTCAACCTCAGTAACATCATTAATCAATGCATCATATAAAAACTTCAATAACACTGAGATAAAACAAAAACCCAAAAGGGAAAAAATTTATAATGGCTGCTCTGCAACATTTTCCCTGTTCGGTTCTGGCAACGTTTGTGTTTTTCTTTTTGTACTAGGATAAATAACATTATTTATTTATATATAAATATATATATATTCATATGTTGTTGTTATCATTCAAGGCAAAAAAAGCTTGTTCCCACACTTGCAACGCCAAGCTTCTGGATAATACTCGAGCCGTATGATTAAACCGGGTTGAACCGGAACGTGAACCGGGTGACACGGGTTGCACCAACCGCACTTGGATCTACATGACGGAGGTGCTGAACCTGGACCGTTGAGCTTCTTCTGTTGAGTCATATCTCTTTCCCACGGTGAAGCCGGAGACAGATTTTCAGAAACCTCGTGCTTCACTGTTCCGGTACCTGAAAAAAAAAGTGAGTTGTTGGAATTGAAATATGAAAAGAGAATGGTTTGTTTATGTTAGTGTTTGGAATGAAAAGAACTTACCGGGTTGTGGTGCGAGAGTGGTTATTGCTGAAGAAGAAGAGAACAAGAGAAAAAGGAATAACAAGCAGGAATGGTTATGATGGTGATTGCGGCGGTGAAGGTGGCGTAGTACGCACATGATGGTGGTGGGAATGCGTAGGTTAGAGAAGTGTGTTGTGTTGTGGTGTTATTAATTGTTACTAGTAGTGTTGGAGATTGTTGTTGCGTGTGAGAAAAAGTCTAAGTCAAAAGAGAAGAAAGAACAGCAAAGAGGGAGAGAGAGATCTTGTTTGAGAATCTGAGAAAATGGACCCAAGGGTTTGGGGACATGGACCCCACTGAACTTCAGAATTATTTGTCATAGGGCAGGGTGTGTTGTGTCTTACACCTTGCAACTTGGTAAATAAATACATTCAATTCTATTTTTATTCTTATTTTTGTCTCTCAAATAACATAATTTCATTTACTTTTATTTCCTAAACAATTACTAGTGTTGAAATTAAGTCTGCCTAGTAGCCTATGTTTAGTATGGTAAATTTTTTAGTTTATAGAAAATTATTTATAAAGTTTGTTTTAATAAGAGAGGGTTTTAGCTTTTAGTTTTTAGTTTTTTATAATTTAAAAAATATTATCTTAATTTAAAAAAAAATGTTTTTTTGTTATTTCAAAGTTATGAACTGGTTCAACAATTTGCTATCAAATAACTTAATTGTTATCAACTATAACTTCATTTTTTAAAAATTGAGAGAAAAAAATAAGGCAAATGGAAAATTGAACTCGATAGATATGGCTTGAAAATTGAAACTCACAATTTATAAAAAAATCAGCTATGTAAAATATAAAAACTAATAGTTAAGGATGAAAAATCGAAGATGGAAAGCATGAGATATTCAAAAATCCAACTCCAACTTAGAAGGATCTCTTATAAATTTTTGGAAAACAATTTACTGGCATAAATCAAAATCACCTAAACTCATGATTTTGACACGTGTTTCTTCCTTCCTTTAACAGATAATGGATCTATGCAAGGCCGTTCCTGATAATTTTGAGGCCCCAATAAGAGAGAAGATAGAAAAATGTTATGACATTTTGATTTTTTTTTTAAAATAATATATTTAAATAGTAAAAATATGGTGACCGTGGATTGAAACTAATGACTTTTGAGTAAAAAATAATATCCTTTATCACTGCACCAACTAATTTATAATATATATTAAGTTAAATAATTAATATTTATATATTTATTACAAATTTATAATTTATAAAAAATAATTTTGGGGTCTCTATTTATTGAACATTAGATCTATGTGCTTGAAGATACAATGTCTAGATCAATCAATTGACCTATATGATTTTTTTTATGATAACAACACTATGAGATGATGTTTTCATCTAAAGGGATAATCAAGTTGTTATTGCTTAGGAGATTAAGATGTTAAAGTTGATCTTTTAAGGACAATGTCTGATGTCAAGCAAAGTTCGGTGGAATCTCTGATAATCTCAATCAAGCAAATAACTCGAATGATGATGTCTATAAAAAAGTCTTATCAAGTCTCATAAGATATAATAAGTCCTTTCCATATGATGTGTTGAATCATTTATGTATCGAGTAAGAGACCTTGAATCTTCAAAATTGTGAAAGAGAGAAAGTGTGAAAGCTCGGGAGGTCCGTGTCTGAGTGGCCATAAGTTTTCTTAAAAGATATTAGAGTAGTTCTTAAACTACTAATACAATGCACACACTCACCTATAAGTATTATTAACCTCTCTTTTTGATAAAACTCCTTAGAACCCTTAGAGGAACCTCATGGTTCTTATATAATTGATAAAAGGTGTTCCTAAATATTTAGGAGGCATATATACACTACTTAATTGATTAAGGCCTTAATGAGATCAATAACCTCCTTACACTTTAAGACATCTTTCCCCAGTTCCCTTTCCAGAGCAATACGCCTCTGGTAAACATACTTCAATTTCTCTACATTCTTTGCAAGATGAAAATACACATTATCTATAGGAACATCTAAAATATTTGCAAGACTCTTCTTTATCACATACTTACCTTTGGTGTCATGCATGATGTCATGAACATCAACATCAAACTCTGAATCACTTAAAGTAACACCTTTCCTCTTCATAGTTTACTTCTTTGAGATCATAACTTTGCTCCAACCCTTAATTGGTCCCACAATAGTGCTTTTCTTAGGAATTTTTGAGGGAGTACTCTCAGTTACATCAGTAGTCTTTTTTTCCTATTTCTCAATCTCTTGACAATGCCAGGATATATCCTTTTGCTAATAGGCTCATCATCAGAATCACACTCATCAATATTGACAGTCTCATTGTTTTCGCCTTTATCATCATCTTCCTTTTCACCTGCTTCTGCAGCTACTTCATGCTCAATTTCAGGAACATCTAGATCTCCATCTTTCTCAGGATAAGGAAGCTTGTTCACATATGTTAGAACATCTGGTACATCATCAGGAGTAGCTTTACCATTCGCAATATTTGAAAGCAATCTACGAATGCTCTTGTCTACAATAATGTCTTCATGGTTGGATTGCATTGCATCTTTCACAATGTTAGTATCTTTAACACCGCCCTTATGAGATGTCTCAACATTTTTAACAATGTTAGGGTTTTCAGCATCTCTAGCATTTAATTCAGAAGAATCAACCTCCATGACTACAAATGTATCAAAAGCATATTCTTTTCGACCATCACAGATGGTTTTGAAGACATACTCACTCGTGAGTGAGTCCTTCTTCCAGCTAGAGTCTTTGTTTTGCTTCTCTTTGGAGTATCGCTTGGGATGATTGTAAGAGGAACAACGTTTGTTATAACATTTGACAAATTTTCTGAATCTCTTGTAGAATGAGGAGCATAGGTGGACATATCATGTTTGTTTGACATATTCATTTCTTGAATATTGAAAAGAGAGATGTTGAAAATAATATTTTGAACAATCTCTTTGAGATACAAGAGTGATAAACCGGAAATGTATCGAATATTTGGATCAATTTACATGAATTTTATCCGCATTTTAATTAATTAAATTACTCTTTATTCGTATTATGCTGGTATTTTCTATGTTTTCAGGAATTTGATGTTTGCAAGGCATGTGCAAAGAAAGTCAAGAAAAGTCGAGCTAATCGTATTTAAAATCCGCACAAAGAAAGAGAAAATTATGCAATTGAGGGGTGTGTGGCAAAATTGGGTGCCTTACAAGTAAAAAGCCTTGGAAGTCCAAAGAAGAAACACACGTTGGGCCCAATCCACCAAGGTCCAAGGGGTGTAACGACCGTTACACGTCACCTAACCCTAGTGTAATGACCGTTACACCATGCCAAGCAAACCCTTCCTCAAAAGAAGGGGGTGTAACGCCCATTACACCATGCCACATCAGCCCTTCCTCAAAAGAAGGACTGTAACGACCGTTACACTGAGGCAAATCCGGAGGAGAAAATATCTCAACTCCCTGTGCATCTCCAAGCCTATAAGTAGGACCTCAAATTCATATTTTTTGAACACGTTTTCTTTTCTCTGTTTTTACTGTTACTCTGTCGAATATTTTCCGCATTATTTTCTTTCTGCGTTATTTTCTTTACTGATCTGTGGGAGACATCCGATATCAAAAAAATATTCTGCCATAATATTTTCAGGTTTAATTTAAGTACTTTATTTATTTATGCCAGGATTGTGTGAAATGTTTAGTTTATTTAAATTGTTAGATGGTAATTATTTCTGTCGTGCTGTTATTGAGTCGTTTAATATGCTAGGCTAAATTTATTTATCCGTATGTAAGGTCATATAACCAACGGGGTTTAGCAAAGCCAATTGATCAGTTCCTTTTAAAAAGAATAATTTTCTGGTTTCAATTACTAGTTCTAAATATTAACTGTTTTGTTACGAGAGTAAAATACAGATAGAAGTTAGGATCAATAAAACAAGAGTTTGAGATGATAACTGGACAATAGTAATTGTGCATCAACTTAAAATACAGTGAGAGCGCTTTTAAGTTGATTAGGTTTTGTTTGTTTCCAAAAACTATTTTTAAACTCTAATTGAAACAGCGAGAGCACTCACTTAGGTTTGATCGTAGGATCTGAATCAATAAACACGAGAGTGTGAGAAAAGGGTTTTCAAACAAATACTTTCTATTGAAAATTGTTTTGTTAATCCAAGTTAGGTTAACGAGTTGCTAAATCCCCAATGTTCGACCATTACATACCGATATTCTCCATTGAATCTAAACTAGATTATAATCAGTTAGGTTCCCTAAACCCCCTATTAATTACATTATTAGCCTTAAATTTACGTAGTAACCTAAGATAACGGTAGTTCGACATTTAGTCCATTGGGATTCGATAACCTTTAAAGCTACACGTGATAGGACTGTATACTTACGGTCTAGATTCTTTAAGACTCACAAAGTCGCGATCAAGTTTTTGGCGTCGTTGCCGGGGACTAACAAGTCGATATCGTAACTCTTTTAGTTACGCTGTAGAGACTAAGGCACCATTCCCAATTGTATGCTAAGCACTCGCTCTAAAGGTGAAGGCTTAGTGCTACCAATTTCTGAACCTGAGAGCTCTATTACTAGAAGACACAGAGTACGAGTATCTCATTCAAATTAATCCCTCTCTCAATCTTTTATTCCTACCGAACCAGTTGAAGGACCAAACATGGGTGATCAGACATGTCTGCTCAAATCTTATGCTATTACTTCGCAGGAAGAACCACATAACAACATTGCTGCTCCTCTGATCGAGGCTAATAACTTCAAACTCAAACCTTCCTTGTTGTCTGTTGTACAACAAAATATGTTTTCTGGAGGGTCAATGGATGACCCTAATATACATTTATCGATGTTTCTGCAATACGCAGATACAACTAAGAACAATGGTGTCAGTCAAGAGGCAATAAGGCTTCATCTTTTCCCTTTTCCCTAAGAGATAGAGCCCGAGCCTGGCTCCAGTCTCTACCAGCTAACTCAGTTACCTCTTGGGATGAGTTGAAGAAATTCTTTCTTGTAAGATATTTCCCACCAAGTAAGACAATTATGCTAAGATCCCAAATTAGTGATTTTCGACAAAAGGACAACGAGTCTCTTTTTGACGCTTGGGAAAGATACAAAGAC